CTGATCTTGGAAGCTAAGCAGGGTGGAGCCTGGTTAGTACTTGGATGGGAGACAGAGAATATGTTTCCATTTTACATAATTCAGAAATATTTGAGGTTCTTTGTTATGGTGGAGATAAATGTAACAAATTATGCATTGACCTGCATAATATTTTAAAGCCAACATAAATGGCAGTGCAAATGTAACATACTAACTTGGAATTGCATTTGACTACAAGTTGTCAAAAGCTAGCCAAACAAGCTTCTGTAAATCAGAGATTTCTTTCCTTAAGAAAACAAATTCAAGGGGTGCCTGGATGACTCTGTCAATTGAGTGTCTGACTTTTGGTTTCGGCTCACATCATGACCTTACAATTCACGAATTCAAGCCCCACATTGGGCTTCATGCTGACAGCGCAGAGCCTGCTTGAGATTCTCTGCCCCTCCCTTGCTTCTCTTTCTGTCTCTCTCAAAATAAATAAACATTAAAAATTTAATTTAATTTAAAAATTAAATTCAAAAGTAGCCAGTTGCTGGAATTGATCCTACAGTTTAAGAATGCCAACAGATATATAATTATCCTGACCTTTCCTTCACTGTCTGGAAATGGCTTCTTCAGCTGCAGCTATTACATCCATATTCCAGGAAGGAAATAGTGTTGACAAGGAGAAAGTCAATCAGTGCTACAGCAAGAAAGGAACATTGTCTAGGAATCACAAGCAGACTTCACTCCTATCTTATTAGCAAGAACTGTGTCACATAGCCATCTCTAACTTCAAGAAAGTTATTTTTAGCTAGTCTTACTGCTGCCCTGACCAAAATCTTGGTTCTGTTAATAAAGGCAAAGGAAACAATAGCTATAAGGCAGCAGCGTGTGCCTTTCCAGTCCTGTCAGTTTCCACCATTCCTTAGTAGCTAACACAGTGTTGATCGAAGATCTTCCAGAACCCAGAGGCATCTGAATATATAGCTGTTGAAATTTCACAGACCGGGAGTATTTGAAAGTAATCTTCAGGGGCGCCTGGGTGGTTCAGTTGGTTAAACATCTGACTTGATTTCAGCTCAGGTCATGATCTCACAGTCTGTGGGATCAAGCCCTGCATTGAGTTCTGCAATGACAGCAGGCAGCCTGCTTGTGATTCTCTCTCTCTGCTCCTCCCCCATCAATAAATAAATAACATTTTTAAAGACAGAGTATCTTATTTTTATTTTTTTTTTAACCTTTATTCATTCTAGAGACAGAGTACGAGCCGGGGAGGAGCAAAAAGAGAAAGGAAGACACAGAATCTGAAGCAGGCTCCAGGCTCCGAGCTGTCAGCACAAAGCCTGATGCAAAGCTCAAACCCATAAACTGTGAGATCATGATCTGAGCCAAAGTTAACCAACTGAGTCACCCAGGTGCCCCAATAAACATTTTTTTAAAGTAGTCTTCAGCTTCATGGGGAAAAACATACCCATTCACACAAAATTCAGTATAGTCTAGAGGTCACGCCAAGCAAATCTCAGGATGCCTGCTGATAAACCATGTTGCCAGTTGTTTAGTTTAGCTCTGTCCAGAATGAGTGATCATTTGGGTTGCGCTCCTCAGGGTGGGCAAAGTGCACACAAAGGCTGGTCAGAAGGTTGCTTAGAAGCTAAAATATGACTCATTGAACTGGTTAGGCCAAACTACCCGTTGTATTCGAGGATGAACTATGACCACACAGGAAGGAAAAGGTTCACGACACTCACTGAGCACTTCCCATGCGTTTTACCAGGTGTTTTCAGGGTGTTTAGGGTCAAATGTTATCACCCTTTTTAAAAGAGGAGACTAAAGTTCAGAGGGACCGTCACGGGCCCAATGTTGCCCAAATAACAGAACTGAAATTCAATTCTAAGTTGGCCTGACTTCAACACACTACTCCAAGGCATCCTAGCTCTTTAAGCGGAATACAGCAAGTGGCCCTGGCAAAGCCATGTTCTTCCCACTGTGCTATGTTGCCTCAAGTATCCAGTGGCTTTTTTCAGAACATGGAGCTGGACTAATTCTGCTTGACATTAGTTCTCTGGTCCCACTTTTGAGCTTCACACAGGCACCGCCTTCATGAACCCATAATTATTTAATTCAGTTAAATAAATCAGTTAAAATACAATTTATTCAGTTTGAGCCTTTTTTTTTTTTAAGTTACATTCTTCATAATAAAGATAACATGAAGCCTCCGGGACAACTTTACGGTTTCCAGTTCTCAGCAACATGTCTCTGCAGTCTTCTGACGGGGCCACTTTCAAACCTTTACATTGATTTGTTTCGTGTCTGTCTTAAGTGATGGCTTTTGGCGGTCTTCTCCCCAGACCAGTCCTGACTGTGGTGAATACTGACCACGCACTTAATGCTTTCAGAACAGAGCGTTGGATTTCACCTCTTTGTGTTAGGTGACTAGGTAGAGAAAAGATTTACAAATTCATTGTCTGTGGTTTCTTTAAAATTCATGTTAATGCTCATTTTAGGATTGGGAATCTCTGTTAATGCCCAACTCCACTGGGGGGACTGTGTTCATTGCAGGAATCTAGTCCCACTAAAGTATGACACGTGCCAGCAGGAAACCTCCCTGCCTCGTTACTGCCACATGGTCCATGTGCCTGTACTCAGCACAGACTAGCTTCTCAACACCTAAACATGTATCAGGTGGATAAATGGAAATCTTCAAGTAGTAAAGCAGCAGTTGAGAATTAACAAACATGACATACTCTGCATAGTTGTTTTCCATACAAATATACCTGTGACACTTAATGAGGCTCTTTCTGTTCTACCACAAAGGTGTTCTTAATTGTCGTGAGAATACCTTAATAATCATTATTATATTTTTTAAAAATTTTTAATGTTTATTTATTTTTGGGAGAGAGAGAGAAAACAAGCAGGGGAGAGGCAGAGAGAGAAGAGAACACAGGTTCCAAGGCAGGCTCCAGGCTCTGAGCTATCAGTACACAGCCCAACATGGAGCTTGAACTCCTGAGCTGTAAGATTATGCCTGAGCCAAAGTCAGATGCTTAACCAACTGAGTCACCCAGGTGCCCCAATCATTATCACTATATTAACCCATAGATTCTTGGGAATACTTACAAAATAAAATTGCACAGCACTGAATCTCAGGAAAAACACTTTCTCACACATTTCAAAACTTACAAATAAGGACAGAGAAACACGGAACTAAATACAGTCCCAACAAAAACACATTATATAGGAAATTATGTGAGAAAGGCGACATTTCAAGTCAGTAGAGAGAAGATGAATGGTTTAATATATGATGTTAATTAGCCATAAAAACTGTAGATTCTTAACACACCATACAAAAACGTAAATTCAAAATGGAATAAACATGTTTAGCCCATACAAATAATAGAAAAATATACGGGAGATATTTTTAATAATGTCAGAATACAGGAGGAAGGGTTTTACCTACTCCCGGAGAGCACACACAGCAGATGGTAAATATAGGTACAAACTCCCAAAGAGAACACCTTGCAAAGGGGCTAAATACATTCTCAAAAAGAAATGCTATCATAATTTACAATGCACACAAAAATAGAACATTTGACAGATGTTCAGGTCAAAAAAACATTTTTCAATAGACAAAAAAGGTAAATATATAAAAACTATATACAAAATGTCTATACAGCAAATGATAGAAAAACAAAAGCTAAAAGATTAAAAGTAGGCAAAATGTTGACAAAATAGGACAAGGTGTCACTATCCATGAGCTGTTACAATGCTATCAATCAAAAAGGGAAAATTACAATAGAAAGGCAGGTGAAGGACGTGAATAGGCAAGTGATCATGAAAAATACTCTACTTCACTCATCATTTTTTTAAATGCAATTTTAAATGAGATATTTTCAGGGCGCCTGGGTGGCTTAGTCGGTTGAGCATCCGACTTTCGCTCAGGTCATGATCTCGCGGTTCGTGGGTTCGAGCCCCACGTCGGGCTCTGTGCTGACTGCCAGCTCAGAGCCTGGAGCCTGTTTCAGTCTGTGACTCCCTCTCTCTCTGACCCTACCCTGCTCACGCTGTCTCTCTCTCTCCTAGAAATAAATAAAAATTTAAAAAAATAATAATAAATAAATAAATGAGATATTTTCACAAATTGGAACTGATCATTCTTTAGACTGGTAAACCATGGAAAGCCAGGCCCATCCAGTTACCACTTACATCACCAGAGAGCAGCCTGACCAGCCTCTTACTGTGCACTTGGCCTGGCAGTTCAACTCATAGGAAGGGATTCTCCAGAAACACTCACACGACAGTATGGGTGTTCGTAGCAGCATTAAAATTAATCACCAGTGCGTTGAAAGCTATCTGAATGTCCACAAAGAAGGAATCATTAAATAAATTACAGTACTTCTATGCAATGGAATATGTCCATGAAGCCATGGTTCTAAAGAATGAGGTAGGTCAACAAAGACTGACATGGAAAGATGCTCCATAACACGTCATTAAGAGACTTATGAAACAGTATAATTATGGAATGATCTCAATATAGGGAATGTTTCTTAAAGTGATATATACACAGAAAGTGTTTATACATTGTGCCTATCATTAGGGAGTGAAAATATGGGGCATTCACATTTTACCACAAGCGGTCGTTATATTCCCCCTAAACTTGTATTACATCTAAAATCCAAAAAGATTTCCAAGCCCTAAAAAAAATATTATTACTTGAGAAATGGCCTCATTTTTTTATGGGAACTGTATGCTCCCTCCCCAATGCTCCAAAGAACCTGTCCCAAATCCAAAAGTCAAGTGGGTCCAGACTCTGTTCTCTCCCTGCAGTAGGAGGTGACATCTCCTCTACAGAGTCCTAAGTCTCAGGAAGTTAAGATCCAGGATGACTTTGCATGACAGCATTACTCTTCACTACATGGGAAGACAAGAACACATATGGCAGCTAGTAAATATATTGTGCAAACCCCCAAAAGAATTCCCTGAAATAGGCAGAAAACATTCTCAAAAATGGATCCTAGGACAGTTCACAAACCACAGGAAAATATAAATATCCAAATATTCCCACAGGCCCTGCCAATGAGATCCACACATCAGCTCTGCACTGTCTTTACTGGCCGTTGAGGAAGATGGAGACCCAGTCAGGCCAGCAACCCTTACGAGGTACAAGAAGAGATGTGGCCACTTGGTTCAAGGGCTGTGTGCAGATCCATCGGCACTGATGTCCCAGAAGTTATGGCAACTTCTTCATTCACCTCCAAAAAAGCACTGGTCTCTTTGGGAGAAGTGGATTTCTTGTTATGGCAGCCTTCTTTACATCCTGTGTTCTTTTTTCTGTGTTCATTCTTCAATCTCCGCTCGTACATCTTGTATGCTAGGTGTTAAAAAATAGTATTAAAAACTCACCTTAACAAAAACCGTAAGGTAGTGATATTGTATACTTGTCAACACTTTGGGGCTGTGTTTGCTTTGGGCCATGTATGTGAAAATATGCAGGAAAAAGAACGGAAAAGAGAAACAGGCAATTGTGGTTCAAGAAGGCAACATAAGTAGATCCTGAACTTGCCTCCCCCCACAGACAATACTAAATTCCTCTGGGAAAGAACCCAAAAACTGTCAAAACAACCCCACTGCATCAGACGAACGAGAGGGAACCACATGGGAGTGAGTAGGAAAGGACAAGTTACCATCTTGTCAGAAATGCCACCCCAGACAGGGCCACCCAAATCAGGAGAGAACTCAAAACATGGAGCTTCTTCCTCAGGAGCAAAGGATTCTTACCCAAGATCAGGTACCCCAATTTTTAAGACAGGCACCTGATAGATGAGCTCCCAAAATATCTGGCTTTTAAGACCAACAGGCCTGGTACCCATGAGACACAGCGGTGCATTGAAAGGAGGAACCACAAGCTGACTCACCCACCCCAGGGCCCAGCCCAGAAGCAGCCCTTGGAAAAGTGCCCCGAACTTAATGTGGAAGAGATTCATTTCTTCATTTTATAGCATCAGACTGAGGGGCAGGAAGAGATACAGGCATCCAGGTCCAGGAAGATAATTTCAAATAAGACAAACTCAGAGAAAGCCATACCAAGACACATTATAATTAAAATGTCAAAAGTTAAAGACAAGGAGAGAATCATAACAGCAGCAAGAGAGAATGACTTGTTACACACAGAGGAAACCCCATAAAGCTACTGGCAGATTTTTCAGCAGAAACTTTGCAGACCAGAAAGAGTGGCATCATACATTCAAAGTGCTGAAAGAAAAAAACTTCCAACCAGGAACACTCAACTCAGCAAACTTACCATTCAGAAGCAGAGGTGAAGTAAAGAATTTCCCAGAGAAGCAAAAGCTTAAAGGAGTTCATCAACATGTACGAGTAATGTTAAAGGGGCTTTTTTAAGATGAAAAGATAGGGTGCTAACTAATAACAAAAATATATATATGAAAGTATAAACCTCACTGGTAAAGGTAAGTATATAGAAAGGTAATGGATTAATCACTTATAAAGCTAATATGAAGGTTAAAAGACAAAAGTAGTAAAAATAATTATAGCTACCATAATTAGTTAAGAAATATACAAAATGTAAAATGTAAAAATGAAAAATGTGACATCAAAAACAAAACATGAAGGGAAGCAAAAATGTAGGGCCTTACAATGTGTTCAAACTTAGGTTGTTATAAACTTAAAATAGATTATTTGCGGGGGTTTTTTAACATTTATTTTTGAAAGAGAGAGAGAGAGACAGAGCACAAGCAGGAGAGGGGCAGAGAGAGAGGGAGACACAGAATCTGAAGCAGGCTCCAGGCTTTGAGCTGTCAGCACAGAGCCCAACATGGGGCTTGAACTCATGAACAGCAAGATCATGACCTGAGCCAAAGTAGGATGTTTAACCGACTGAGCCACTCAGGCATCCCTAGACTATTATAAATACGAGTTGTTAGAGGTAAGCCTCATGGTAACCACAAAGAAGAAACCTTTAGTAGATGCACAAAAGATGAGAAAGGAGTCTAAGCACACCACTGAAGAAAGCCATCAAGCCACAGAGGAAGAGAACAAGAGAAGAAAGGAACAGAGAAGAACTACAAAACAGCCAGAAAACAATGAATGTCAATAAGTACGTACTTATCAGTAGTTACTTTAAATGTAAATGGACTAGGGGCGCCTGGGTGGCTCAGTTGGTTGAGCATCCAACTTAAGCTCAGGTCATGACCTCACGATCTGCGAGTTGGAGCCCCATATCAGGCTCTGTGCTGACAGCTCAGAGCCTGGAGCCTGCTTCAGATTCTGTGTCTCCCTCTCTGCCCCTCCCATGATCATGCTCTGTCCCTCTCTGTCTTTCAATGATAAATAAACAATTTAAAATTTTTTAATAAATAAATAAACATTTTTTAAAACTATAAAAAAACAGGACCCATCGCTATGCTGCCTACAAGAGACTCACTTCAGATGTGAGGACACACACAGAATGAAAGTGAAAGGATGGAGAAAGATGTTTCATGCAAATGGAAAACAGAAGAAAGGTGAGGTAGCTATACTCATATCAGACAAAATAGACTTTAAAACAACAACTATAGAGGCGCCTGGGTGGCTTAGTCGGTTAAGCATCCGACTTTCGCTTAGGTCATGATCTCGCCGTTCGTGGGTTCGAGCCCCGCGTCGGGCTCTGTGCTGACTGCCAGCTCAGAGCCTGGAGCCTGTTTCAGTCTGTGACTCCCTCTCTCTCTGACCCTCCCCTGCTCGCGCTGTCTCTCTCTCCTAGAAATAAATAAAAAAAAAAAAAAACATAAAAAAAAAACAACTATAAAGAGAGACAAGGACATTACATAATGACAAAGGAGTCAATCCAACAAGAGAAGATAACATTTATAAATATATACACACACAACATAGGAGCACTTAAATATATAAAGCAAATATTAACAGACTGAAAGAGAGAAATTATCAACAATATAATAATAATGTGGGACTTTGACACCCATTCACATAAATGGATAGAATGTCCAGACAAAAAAATCAAATAAGAAAACATTGGCCTTAAATGACACATTAGACCAGATGATGTCAACAGATATATACAGAACATACCATCCAAAAGCAACAGAATACATATTTTCAAGAGTACATGGAACAGTCCCCAGGATAGATCATATGTTAGGCCACAAAACAAGTCTTAACAAATTTTAGAAGACTGAAATCATATCTAGCATCTTTTCTGACCACACTGGTATGAAACTAGAAATTAACTACCAGAAGAAGACTGGAAAATTCACAAATATGTGAACACTAAACAGGCTGCTACTGAACAACCAATGGGTCAACAAAGAAATCAGAAGTGAAATAAAATTCCTGAGACAAACAAAAATGGAAATACAGCATGGCAAAACCAAGCTCATGGAGATAGAGAATAGATATGTGGTTACCAGAGGCAGGGGTGGGAGGTAGCAGGGTGAGGGATATCAGTGAAGGGAGTCAAAAGGTAAAAACTTCCAGTTATAAAATACATAAGTCATGTGACTATAGTTGATAACACTGTATTGTATAGTTGAAAATTGCTGAGAGAGTACATCTTACAAGTTCTCATCACAAGGGGAGAAAAACCTCTAGGTATGGGGCAGGTGTTAAATGGACTTACTGTGGTGATCATTTCACAATATATACAAATATGAATCATTATGTGGTATACCTGAAACTAATATAATGTTGTATGTCAATTATACCTCAATTTAAAAAAGAGGAATCTATGGAAGAAAATAATTTGATATATCACAATGGCTATTTTTATCTAGAATGGACCATTTGTGATTGAAATATTCATCAGGTCACTGATGGCTCCTCCATTCAGTCAGTCAGTCAGTCAGTCAGTTAGCAACACCTATGGAATGCTTCCAGTGAGTCAGGTGCTCTCCTGGGTGCTAGAAGATACCTGGGAATGAGTCAGATGTGTTCCTCCCTTCATAATCTCACCAAGGAGAATAAATTAAAACTTGCATCTGCGACCAGGGAGATTTATCCTGCTAAGATTTCTCTTATTTTCTGATAAAATTCAACCCCAAATATTCCTTATGTTGACTGTTATATTAGCAATCAGTAGATAATCAGTTATACCAGTAATTATTCAGTCTTACACAGAACCTGTTCCCTGGTAACAGTGAAAATTTACAATGGCCCAAGATTAAAATATATGTGTGTATGTATATATCCATGTCTTTTTAAATTGACATTCTGTGAACCTATCCAATGACTGACTCTAAAATGATGTATATTTGGCTATATGGATAGGTATATATGATATGCATGTAAACAAATATGTATTTCAATATCTGTGTATGTATTATATTTCATAGTTTAAAAAATATTTCACAGCCATTCAGTACAATTCTTAGTCAGAGAAGCATTGTGAAATAACTTGGCATTTGGAAGACCTCATGGCTCTTGATGAAATAGAACAAATGTCATGTTGAAGATAAATTATTGCTCATGGAGACTTATCAAGTCCTAGAATCTAAGTTCTAACAGTGCATTGTCTTTTATGAAGCATGTTGGTTTATAATTATAAACTCCCATCACATGTGTTTGATATTTTGCTGTGAAAGCAAAGGGTCTTGTTTGTGCACTCTATTTTCCCCAGAAATGCTGGGCTAAAAATGTATCTATCACAAGCATAGTACATGTATGTTCAGGTAGAAAAAGAAGTTTGTGGCTTGGGTTGACAATTTTCAATCACATCTCCCCATTGGAGGCTCTACTCACCTGCAACAATGAGAAATCCATCCAACAGCTGGAAGAGTCCATAGGCCAGTGGGAAGCTAAGCATCTGGACCAACTGCTTGGCAGTGAAAGATAACTGGAGCATGGTGACACACATCTGAATATTCTGAGCTCCAGTTTCTAAGGAAATCGTCCTGCACCTACCAATGAAAGAATTTTTCAAGAGGTACATACTAGAATTAGGACTCTTAAATTGTTCTCTTATATACAGCAATAAATATACGCTATGAGCTTAGGCCACTAAAACTGTTTACTCATGGGGCACCTGGGTCGGTTAAGCCTCCAACTCTTGATTTGGGCTCAGGTCATGATCTCAGAGTTCATGAGTTCAAGCCCTTCCTTGGGCTCCGAGCTGACAGTGCAGAGCCTGCTTGGGATTTTCTTCTCTCCTTCTCTCTTTGCCCCTCCAAAAAGATGTTTACTTTCTTCATAATCATTTGATGAATGTGCCTATTCTGGAGGTGGTCTGCTCTCCAAGAGACTGTTCAGAGACCCTCAGAACCCCATCCTAGGAATCTGGGTGGAAAGACATGAAATACACACAGGAAAGATCCAGTACACAAGACAAAATATGATTGAGGGTCAGAGAGAAGCTACATAAATTCATGTAAGTGGCATAAATGGGTAGAGAAGGCTTCACAGAGGCATAGGTGAATGAAAGCGTGAGGGTGGGAGCAGCATTTCATGTGGGACAGTGACTAAAATTAAAGATCCAGGGACACATATGACCTACACCTACCAGGAGGCGGTGCATATGCTGTGAGCCAATCTGTGTGGAGTGCAGGGTTAGAGATGAGCATGGAAAGGTGACATAGATATGGGAAAATATAAACTCAACAACACTTGAAGGTAACACAAAAACCCTAAGTGAAAACCAAATGTCTAAAACTAAACATCTAAAACTCTTTGGTGAAAGATTTTAGGAACACGTTTTTTCCCTACTTTCTATTTTTCTGTATTTTATTAGTTTTCTTTTTTTATATATATATTTTTGGGTGTTAGATATTTTTATTTTTTATTTTTCTTTACAAATAGTTTATTGTCAAATTGGTTTCCATATAACACCCAGTGCTCATCCCCACAAGTGCCCTCCTCCTGCCCATCCCCCCCTCCCCCCCGACATCCATCAGTTCTGTTTGTTTCTCAACATTCAAGAGTCTCTCATGGTTTGCCTCTCTCCCTTTCCCCCACCATTTCCCCCCCTTCTTTTCCCCCATGGTCCTCAGTTAAGTTCCTCCTAATCCTCCTATACGTGCAAACATATGATATTTGTCCTTCTCTGCCTGACTTATTTCGCTCAGCATAACACCCTCAAGGTCCATCCATGTTGCTACACATGGCCAGATTTCATTGTTTCTCATTGCCATGTAGTATTCCATGGTATAGATAAACCACATCTTCTTGATCCATTCATCCGTTGATGGACACTTAGGCTCTTTCCATGTTTTAGCTATTGTTGAGAGTGCTAATTGGGGGGAAAATGAGATAAACTTCACTTGAAAACTAAAAATCAGGAGAGAGTAAAAGGAAGACCTCGGGGGCTGCATTAAGCAGTTTTGTCTGTTTCTAATTTATAAAGAGGGTCTTCAAGTTTCTGTAGATGGAAGTGAAGAGGGGAAAGAGGTGTTTCAGAATCAAAACAGCATCTCTGTGCAAGCTGGTTTGGAATATGGAGGTAACAAGGGGAGGTATAGTGTGGGCATGAAAACATTGGTACAGGGCAAACTCTACCACTCTTACAATATTTCTATTTACTCTCTTGCTTGCTATGCTTTCTTTAGACCACTCTCACTCCTTTCAGACCCCTGTCAATTACTTGATATGAGTAAGCTACAAAAGTGGACCTCACACCTGGACCATTCACAAGCCAAATGCAATGTCTCAATCCTGATCTTTCTCAAGCCATCAGGTATGGAGAAGACAAGATTGTTAACTACATTTTGCCATAGGAATACTTTACAGATCTGGTTATATTTCAACCACTCAACAATATGTTCCTAATTACTGGCTTTGCAAACAAACTCCAGTTCAAATCCTAATTCCACCACATTCTGGCTCTATTAACTTGGTCAAATTCCTTAACGTCTTGAAGGATTTGCACATCTGTAGAATGAGGGTACTAATAGTAACTATGTCTCAGGCTCATAGTAAGAAGTAAAAGAGATACCATAGGCAGAGCATCACTCACTACCTGGGATAATCCTAAATGCTCCCCAAGTAGACTAGAAACAGATTTCTTCTACAAAATAAACATCAAAATGCACACCACTTTCTATTCTCTTTGACTTAAATCTATCTTTTAAGCGTTTTAAAGCTGAAACCCCACCTTCGAAGTTCAACTACATAGCTCACTTTTCTTCAATAATTCTTTTCTGACTTTAGAGATAGTACATACTCATCAAAAAACTCAGGAAATATACCAAGAAAATGTTAAGAAACTAAAATTACTCTTAATCCTACTACTGAAAATTAAACACTATTAGCATATGGTATTTTTCTCCCAGTATTTTTTCATGCATAAAATTCTTCTGCTTTCTTCTACAAAAAGGGAATCAAAATGCATAGTTTCCTATTCTCTTTTAAATTTATCTTTTAAGTATTTCCCAAAAGCGTTAAAATTGATGCACCACGGTCTATCGCATAGATACATTATGAATTAAATATCTCCCTATTGTCAGATATTTAAATTGTTTGTATTTTTTATATTTATAAATAATGCTGCAATCAACATCTTCGCACATCAATATTCGTGTGCTTATCGACAGTCCTAGCTTCAGGACAGATTGCTAGAAGTAAAATCACTGAGTGAACAGCTATAAATATTTATAAATCTATTGATATGACTAAATTACCTTCCAGAGAATTTATACCACTTATGTTCCCTCCAACAACTCACCTACAGACATAACAACATGGAGTATTATCATTTTTAATATTTCACAATATTTATAAATTATATGTCCCAACTTGTAATGACAAGATATCCAATAAAGTCCCATCTTACTTCTCCAGTTTGCCCTTCCTCCTCTTGCCCCTTATCATTAGCACTTTTACAGAATTTGGCACAAACAATGGATAAATGCTTAATCTCTTTAATCTTGCTCATGCCCTAGAATGATCTCTATATTTAATGAAACCATCTCAACCCTATCTAATTACTAGGATAAGAAGAGAAATGTGTCTAGATTTCAACATGTGGTGTTAACACCTCAATCCTAATTTCACAGATTACAATTTCCCATCACTCTGGCCTTTGTTCTCATTTACGTAAGAAGTACTGTGATCTTTTCACTCTCTTTATCATGAGTCATCCTGTTCCATCCACCTTGTAAGTCAAGACTCTTAATGTCTCCTGACAGACCCAGGCATCAAAGCCTGCCATACAGTGTGTTTACTTTATCCTCCTCAAAACAGTGTACGGATAATTTAACTGTACCTCTGCCAAGATTGGTGGGTAAGAAGAGCCAGCAGAAAGCCCGTGACATGGCCAATCAAAGGGAAGATGAAACTGATGGTCAGGAGAGTGATGTCTGAATTCCAAGATCCTTTTGCCAAGACCACACCAGCAACTGCGACCACCAAAAGGAGGACCCCACCAACAATGGCCCCAATCTAAAGCAAACCAATAAAATAAGTACATGTAAACATCATGTCCTTTCAGCTCTATGATGCGAAGTCCATCAGTGCTTCTAAAAAGCTGGGAACGGAGGCACCTGGGTGGCTCAGACGGTTACGTGTCCAACATCGGCTCAGGTCATGTTGGGCTTTGTGCTGACAGCTTGGAGGCTGGAGACTGCTTTGGATTCTGTTTTACCCTCTCTTTCTGCCGCTCATGCTCTGTCTCATGCTCTTTCTCTCTCTTTCTCTCAAAAATAAGTAAAATAAAAAGCTGGGAACCTAGAAGTTTTGGAACAAAGAAGAGACTTACCACCGAATCCAATCTCATTTGACAGAAAAGAAACCTAAGTTCCAAAGTGGTCAACTGACTTGGCTAAGCTGGAAATCGGTGGGGCTCAACACAAATCCAAGTCTTCTTTTAAGATTAGTATTTTTTCCCTGGAAGTAGAAGATTTTGCCAGAAGGATTGGGGAGTGGACTTTTTCAAGGATAGGACAAATTTATGAAATAAGCATAATCTGACAATAAGCCTCCACCACCCCTACATGCACTTCCTAGATCCCTCGCTGGTAATCCCTTAACTGAGATCTGTCCTGCCTGGCTATCTGCCACTCTCTTCTTATTACTTCTTCAACTACCGATGGATTCCTATGGCTTTCATCCCGGTCCCCCTCTCCTCCAAATAAAATCTACCCGTTCTTCACTAGATAATCTGGGCTAACATTATTTGAATAGAGGTACTAACAGTTACCTCTTTCTTCTCCCAAATGAATATCGTTCTTACTTTTGTTGTTCAACATAAAAGAATTTCCAATAGTTTGAGTTTTAGATCAGACAAAGAGAAAGCCAGACCCAGAATATTTGGAGAATATTAGGATTTTGACAAGCGCCCATTCATATCATGTAGACAGCAAACTGTCTATAACTGTTGTTATAGCTGCGATCTGGATTTGAAATGATTCAAGGCGTGGAGGAAGGTGGTCATGGGGGAGCAGAACAAAATGAAAATAATCCAATGCATCAGAGATGTGCTCTGGGGTTATTTTTACTGGTCAAATACAAAGACAGACAGCTCCTGCTTAACGGGAAGATGCCAGCACACACAAAGAAGACCTATGACTGTCAAAACCCCTCTTCATCTTTCTATCAAAAAAGGATCTCAAAGTTTAAAAATTCACCAAGAGCAATTTGTTCAGAAAATTCATCAGATCTAAAATTAAAAGAAGACCAAGAACAAAGAATGAAAATATATCAAAATAATGACTAGATTATTCTAGTTTTTTACTAAGGTGCTCTAGCATATCTATGCATATTATTAAATGTTTTTGGCCACAAATCCTATGAAACAGGCAAAGAAAGGGGTTTTAATCTGCACCTGACAGATAATAAAAGTGACATACAGAAAACTTATCTGATTTCTCTATTGACACTGAGGGATTAATAGAGGATCTCGAAACACCAAAATTATGCGGGTTTTTTTGCTAGAATACCTAAAAAGTAGTCTAACAAAAGATAGTACTTTATCAAAAATAGAATATTTGAAAAGTAAGAGGTTCCCATGGTTATACTCTGTCCTCTTATCTTGTAAATAAAATTACAACCATACGCAGCCACATTGGAAATTTTCTCCCACTGAAATAACAAAGTCACACACTCACATGCAATCCAAATGTACAACATTTAAGCCTTCCTCCAGTTCTCTGTGCCCAATTGATTTGTCTGCTTGTCAACCCCTCTTTCCCCTCCTGATCTCATTGGAGGAACAGTGAGAGTTCTTCAGTCTTGTGCGGAAGTGAGAAAGCAGCATCCATTTGTGAGGACCAACGGAGGAAGGGGCGGCGCTCCGTCAGGGGGAGCCAGACGGCAGGAACTTACACTGAACCAAACCATAAACCCCAAACTAACATGAACTGGGATGTATTTGCTGAACCTCCAGTTAGCCCCAAATGTTTATTTCTTTATAAATGTAAAATATAAGTAAAGCATTTAAAAAATCTTCATAACGCAGCACATAATGGGACCTCACATCTTCTAAAATGATACATAATTGGAAACACTGAAAACACCCTAGGATATTGACACCTTTGTTGAGAATGCCTCGTGATTTTTAAAGCTACTTTTATATCTTTAGAAGTCAGCTTTAGATATTTTTTAAAAGTCCTTTCAGAGATATTTTTAAAACAAGAACATTTGCTTGTTTCTCCAGCAGACAAAAGCCAAGGCTGGAAAGTCAAAAGGAGGGAGGAGGTTCCAGTTACCATCATTCCATGACCAGACTCCTTAACGCGTTCTGCATTTCACCCTGACAGCTTTTCATGTGGTCAGCAGCCACAGCAGTTGTTCACGTGTACCGACTACAACCTCAAAGCTTCCCCAGGAATGCTTCTGAAAAATAGCCCTACTTTTTCATGCAAGCAGCCAGTACTCTTCAACACTAGGCAGCCAGTACTCTTCAACACTAGGAATCCATTGCATGCACACCTGACCGGCTTTCACCTTGAGAGCACTTGTGTGGAGCCTCGTGAATAGATGGGCCCTGGGTTCTCTCTGGCCGCACACAGGCCTCCTGTGACAGCTTTCCTGTCACTAAAGCAAGAGTCCTACTCTTGACAGTGTGTCCATAATCCTCAGGGTATGGGCCTACAGGAATGACAGAGCATGGCTGAGGAGAGTGGAGGAAATATGGAGGTTAGATCCAAAAACACAGGACTGGGCGCCTGGGTGGCTCAGTTGGTTGAGCATCCTACTCTTGGTTTCAGCTCAGGTCATGGTCCCAGGGTCATGGGATTGAGCCCTGCGTCAGGCCCCACATTGAGTGTGGAGCCTACTTGGGAATTTCTCTCTCCTCTTTCTCTCTCTCTCTCTCTCTCCCTCCCACCCTCTGCCCTTCTTCCCCCAACCTGTCTCTAAAATAAAATAAAATTAAAAAACAAAAAGACAAAAAAACAAAAATCGCTGGGTGTAGGGTTGTATTTCACTGACCCATCTGTTACAGTCATTGTCTACGTCTGTCTTTCCAGTGTCTAAGCCTAAGGATACATTAACTGCCATGTGGAGCTGCTTACCTTGAGAATGATTTTGGATTGCTTAGGCCACCTATAATTCACATAGACACCAAAGGCCACGGGGATGGTCAGGCACAGAAGGGTGATTCCTGAGGAGAAGAAAAATCCATCAGATAATATCTCCTCTTACCTTGACTGCTCAGTCTTCAACAATTTCTATTTCAATTAGATATAGGATTTAATTAAAACTGCATTTTAGGGGTGCCTGGATGGCTCAGTTGGTTAAGCATCCCACTTCAGCTCAGATCATGATCTCACAGTTCATGGGTTCAGGTCCCACATCAGGCTCTGTGCTGACAAAGTCTGGAGCCTGTTTTGGATTCGGTGTTTCCCTCTCTCTTTCTGCTCCTCCCCTGCTTACACTCTGTCTGTCTGCCTGCCTCTCTCTCTCTCTCTCTCTCTCTTTCTCTCTCTCTCTCTCAAAAATAAAAAAAAACATTTAAAAAAACATTTTTAAGCTGCATTTTATTTCTGCATCCACCTCCAAATATAAAGAAAGAAAAAATCTTTGGAAGACAGTCTTCGAAGGGTATATATTGCCACTGAATGCCACCATTCTTGTTCCATCATTTCTCTCTCAAAATTCCCCTGACAATCACATGGAATTTTAGAAACAACCAGAAATGTAAACATTAGAAAAGAGGCAGACTGCAAAATTCTTTGGTTACAATGCATGAGGTCACCTCTCTATGACCACAGCTCTTACTTCTCTGTGTGAAGCCAATAGGCCAATTGTTTCACAAAGTAAAGAATACCTATTGATGATATAAAAACAGCATCTGTCACACATACCAAAGAATTTCTCATATTCTGCAAATGTATCCAGGAAACCTAAAGTTAGATAGGGAAAAAAACGCCTTTTCATGAACACAATTGAGTCAAGACATTAAAGGCAGGCTTAGGAGAACAGAGACCTACTCGCCAGCAGCAGGATCCATACACTGACCTTCTCTCCAGTGCTGTTTTCCAAATCTGGCCACATGCCTGCAATACTGGCTCCAAAGTTATATGAGTTGCTCACAATATGTTGGGTTTTAATTGTTTGCAAGTGTCTTTTAGAATACATTATCAAAATAGAATATGTTAATTTACTGATCAGAATAAGTTATGTGAATAAAATCATGATTTCCTAAACTAGGATTTCACTCAAATTTTACAAATTCAATGGGCTCCAGCTGTCCTTGGAACATGGCTCTATTCATGTTTTTCAGCTATGGGCCATGGTTTGTAAAGCCCTCCGAGTGATTACTTGAGACTCCAGATTAACACTAGAGTTTTAAGAATCATAATTCCTGCCTAATTCTCCAAAGATTCTGAGAAAATGAGAATAGCCATATCATTTCACCGTTTTCTTCTAAGCTTAGTTAAGTCAACTGAGATCTTTAGAGAAAGGGCAAATTTTAATGAAAAATGACAATCAGGAAAGCATATATGGAAGAGATATGGGTATGGTTGTGACATGTGGATATGCTCTCTAATAATTGATAGGAACCATTCAGGTTGGATCAATAAAGATGTCAAGATTCACGAGCCATATGAAAGGTAGAACTGTAGGGACTAAAGTCTCATTAGACCCACTGTGATCCAGTTAACAACCAATGGCTATAGTGAATTATATAAGGGGGTTTTTTAATGAGCAAGTTCTCTTTCTTTATTTGCAAAAGTGAACTCTTGCAGGGTTAAGAGCTTGGCTTTGCAGTCAGATTCCCAAGTCAGAATTCCAGTTCTTTGCAGACCAGCTGCATATACTGGGTGAAGTTAATTAACCTCTATCAGCCTACAAATCTAGGACACAGAACTAGTAATAGAATCAATGCGGAAGTATTATTTCAAGAATTAGATCATTTATTTTATTTATTTATTTTTTATTTTATTTTTTTTAGAGAGAGAGAATGAGTGGAGAAGAGAGGTCGAGGGAGAGAGAGAGAACCTTAAGCAGGCTCCACATTCAGCATGAAGCCAGGTGCAAGGCTCGATGTCACAACCCAGGAATCATGACCTGAGCTGAAATCAAGAGTTGGATGCTCAGGAACATGACAAGGCTGTCCACTCTCACCACTGTTTTTCAACATAGTGTTGGAAGTCCTAGCCTAAGCAATCAGACAATACAAAGAAATAAAAGGCATCCAAATCAGCAAGGAGGAAGTCAAACTTTTACTCTTCATAGGCGACATGGTACTCTATGTGGAAAACCCAAAAGACTCCATCAGAAAGCTACTATAACTGATACATGAATTCAGCAACACAGGATATAAAATCAATGTACAGAAATCAGTTGCATTCCTATACAGCAATAATGAATCAGCAGAAAGAGAAATCAAGGAATCAATCCCATTAACAATTGCACCAAAAACCATAAATACCTAGGAATAAGCCTAACTAAAGAGGTGAAAAATCTATACACTGAAAACTATAGAAAGCTTATAAAAGAAATTGAAGAAGACACACACAAAAAAAGAAAAAACATTCCATACTCACGGACTGGAAGAACAAATATTGTTAAAATATTGATACCACCCAAAGCAATCTATATATTCAATGCAATCCCAATCAAAATAACACCATTATTCACAGAGCTAGAACAAACAATACTAAAATTTGCATGGAACCAGAAAAGACCCCAAATAGCCAAAGCAATCCTGAAAAAGAAAAACCAAAGTTGGAGGCATCACAATTCCACACTTCAAGCTATATTACAAAGCTGTAATCATCAAGATAGTATGGTACTGGCACAAAAACAGACACTCAGAGCAACGGAACAGAATAAAGAACCCAGAAATGGACCCACAAACGTATGGCCAACTCTTTGACAAAGCAAGAAAGAATAACCAATGGAAAAAAGAGTCTCTTCAGCAAATGGTGTTGGGAAAACTGGACAGCGACATGCAGAAGAAAGAAACTGAACCATTTTCTTACACCATACACAAAAATAAACTCAAAATGGATGAAAGACCTAAATGTAAGACAGGAAGCCTTCAAAATCCTAGAGGAGAAAACAGGCAACATCTTTGACCTCAGGTGCAGCAACTTCTTACTTGACATGTCTCCAGGAGTAAGGGAAACAAAGCAAAAGTGAACCTTATTTGGACCTCATCAAGATAAAAACCTTCTGCAAAGCAAAGGAAACAATCAGCAAAACTGAAAGGCAACCAACAGAATGGGAGAAGATATTTGCAAGTGACATATCAGAAAAAGGGTTAGTATTCAAAATCTATAAAGAACTTATTAAACTCAACACCAAAAAACCCCAAATAATCCAGTGAAGAAATGGGCAGAAGACATGAATAGACATTTTTCCAAAGAAGACATCCAGATGGCTAAAAGACATGAAAAAATTTTCAACATCACTTGTCATCAGGGAAATACAAATCAAAACCACAATGAGATACCACCTCACACCTGTCAGAATGGGTAAAATGAACAACTCGGGCAACAACAGATGTTAGTGAGGATGCAGAGAAAGGGAAACCCTCTTGCACTGCTGGTGGGAATGCAATCTGGTGCAGCCACTCTGGAAAATAGTGTGGACATTCCTCAAAAAGTTAAAAATAGAACTACCCTACAACCCAACAATTGCACTACTAGGTATCTATCCGAAGAATGCAGGAGTGCTGCTCTGAAGGGGCACATGCACCCCAATGCTTATAGTAGTGCTACTGACAATAGCCAAAGTATGGCAAGAGCCCAAATGTCCACTGACCAATGCATGGATAAAGAAGATGTGGTATATGCATACGGTGGAATATTACTTGGTGATCAAAAAGAATGAAATCTTGCCATTTGCAACAATGTAGATAGAACTAGAGTGTTTTATGCTAAGTGAAATAAGTCAATCAGAGAAAGACAAATATATGATTTCACTCATATGTGAAATTTAAGATACAAAACAGATGGACACAAGGGAAGGGAAGCAAAAAGAAAATAAAGACAGAGAGCAAAACAAATCATAAGAGGCTCTTAAATACAGAGAACAAACTGAAGATTGCTGGAAGGGTGGCATCGGGTGAGGTGAAGGGCTAAAGGGGTGAGGGTCATTGAGGAGGACACTTGTTGGAATGAGAACTGAGTGCTGTAAGTGATGAATCACTGAATTTTATTCCTGAAATTATTATTACCCTATATGTTATCTAATTTGCATTTAAGTTAAAAAATTTTTTTTTAATTTTAGAGTTGGACACTCAACTGACTGAGCCACCCAGGCACCCCAGTAGTTTGTTTTAAAATTCACATAAAGGAGATACCTAATGAACAGTGGCTATTATTATTACCATCAGCATTACTATTACTGTTCCATTTCACAAGCCCAGTACAGACCTATATTCTGATATGGAATGGTGAGATTCTGCCCAAGATTCCAGGACAAGGTGTAGAGATACAGGCAGAGCGGCATCATTCCCAGGGCAGCCACAGTGGAACAGGTCGTCATAGAGATGCTGAAAGTGAAATTAATATGATACGTAAGAGGAAGAGTTTGAAATGATGAAGTGCTGATCACAAGCAACTCCCAGGACATACCTTAGAGATCACATGGGGTGAGTTACTTGAAGCCCACTCCTATCTTATTATTCAACAAATGATGGCTGCATTTGTGGTCTAGAAAAGCATTTCCAGCAGTATTTGATGTTCATCAATTAACTCCTATTTACCTGAGAATCTACTTGTTCTAAGTATTCTGCTAGGTCCTAAAGGGTTTTTTCCTTATAGAGTTCTTTCTATTAAGATATAATTCATAGACCATAAAATCCATTATTTTAAAGTGTTTTTAATATATTCACAAGATTATGCAAAAATATTTATTTCTATAATTTTTTAATCACCCCAAAAAGGACCCCCACCCAGCTAGCTGTCACTCCTCATTCTCTTCTCCTAGCCACTGATAACCAGTAATCCACTTTCTGTCTTTATAGGATTTCCCATTCTGGATATTTCATATGAATACAATCATACAACATGTGGCCTTTTTCATGTATCTGGCTTCTTTGACTTAGCATAATTTTTTGAGCTTCATCCATATTTTAACACATATCAGTACATCATTTCCTTTTTATGATCAAATCATATTCCATTGCATGGATAGACCGCATTATTTCTACCCTTCTGTTAATTGATAGACATTTGAGATGTTCCTTCTTTATGGCTATTATAAATATTGCAGCTATGAATATTTGTGCATGATGTTTTGTGAATATATATGAATTCAATTCTCTCAGGTGTATACTAGGAGAAGAATTGCTCAATCACAGCTTAATTTTTTGAGGAAAGGCCATTTCCAAAGCAGCTGCACCATGTTATACTCCTGCCATCAGTATATGAAGGTGTTACATATACATTAAAAATTTTTGCACAAATATTCATGAAGAATACTGGTGTATAGTTTCTGTTCCTACAGTGTCTTTGTCTAATTTTGCTACCAGGAGATGGGAATAAGGCAAGTTTGCCACAAGGATAAGTGTTTGCCCAGTGTGAAGTGTTATAAATATGTGTCAGAAGAAGTTATCCAAATACCACATGTGCTAAGTTTCCCACTGGACAGAGAAGGGACCCCCACAGTACAGATCCTCAGGGCAAGCTAGACAGAGCCAGAGAAGTTACAAAACCATAGCAAGAAAGAATTGATGTGGGATGCTAGACTAAATTAAAAGCTCTCTTTGGGGTGCCGGGGAGGCTCAGTCAGCTGAGCATACAACTCTTGATTTTGGCTCAGGCCATGATCCCAAGGTCATGGAATCGAGTTCCGCATCGGGCTCCGTGATGAGCCTGGAGCCTGCTTTGGATTTTCTCTCTCTCCCTGTCTCCCTCTGCCCTTCTCCCCTGCTTACACACTCTCTATCTCTCTCTCAAAAAAAATTCTCTTTGAATTCTAATATTGTATAATCCCATGATTAGAAATAGTAATTGAAGTAGAGTGATAAATTACAACAGATAGTAAGATTTCTAGACTTTTAATGGTGGTGTGATTGACGGTGGTCACTTAGCATCAATCTGAGGGATGACAATAAGACATCCACCAGAAAGATCCTGAGTAGGCAAAGGGAAACTCAGGACCACAGCTGCTGTCATCACTAGACACACAAATCTGGCCATCTTGGGAAGAGAAATGTAGGTGCAGAAGCTGAATGAACCAAATCCAAAGAGCCTGATAATAGCCAAGCCATGCAACTTCACCAGGAAAACAAATGTGAATGATGAGAACAGAGTTTTGGTCCTTGTTGAACAAAGCTAAGATGATTTCTGATAGACAATTGGGTTTGTTTATCTCTGTCATTATTGAGATTGTCTCCAAGTGAAAAAGATAACAAAGTTAGTGCTGTAGGTCTGGAGGAATGGCAAGTATATCATATCTAGAGTAAAAACCCTTCAGTTTAGAACCTTTCGATATTCTGGATCTTGATTACTGTACTTTTATTGCATCTTATGAAATGTTATTGCTTCATAAATTTATATGTTGTTTCCATTTTTTCTGAATAATAAAGCCTTGTTTTCTAAGTCTCTACATTTCTTAATTGGAGAACAGGACTTAGTCACATTAAAATGCATAGCTTCAGTGCAAGGAGTAAAGCATGCATAATGAGGGACCAGGGGCATGGGGAGCAGAGCTGTGGAAAGCCCTCTCCTGCTTTGGACAAGGGCCAGAGAGGAGCCACCGTGCATTTAGAGAAAGACACAGAAGCGGGTGGAGAGCTAGGAGATGATGTTCGCTGAAAGCTGAGAAGAGAGAGCCTTCAAATGCAGGCTAAATGCCAATAATAGATCAAAAAGGATGAGAACCCAATAAGTCCATTTAGGACCATCCAAGCCTCTCCAGTGTTTTGTGCCTCCACCCCAGAAGCGTCCTATCCTCCACTCACCTCCACCCCCGCTCCTAAACTCAAGCTGCCTTTTGTTCCCGTCTGGGTGACAGAACCAGTGAAAGAATGAACCAGTAAAATTAAAGGAAATAGGTAAATGGAAATGAGAGATCCTTCAGGCCAACAAAATATTTTCTAATTGCTAGGGGAAATTACATAATCTTTCTAAACATGTACAAACTACTTCTAGACACTGTTAATGCTGCTCTATTCAATGACGTGAGGCAAATGGAGCAGCACATAACACAACTCATGGGGAAAACAAGAGTTTGTCTACCTCAAATCCAGGTCCAGTCTGGAAACTTTTTAATATTCATTGAGTTCTCACAGCAGACTGCCCTGCACATAGTATAAGTCCAATCTGTGTCTGTGGCCCAAATAGCCAAGAGACCAGGAGGGAACCACCTCCCAGCCCACCAAGGAGAGGAAGGAGACCTCTGTAGGGCTAAGGTCTTCTGCAGGGATAACAAGGGGCCTCCTACACTTCATCAGGCCTGCAAGTCACCATCGTTCTTCCTCTGAATGCACATCACCGATGTTTCCATCTAATTACCTTGCCTACAAACCATCTATGATTATTTTGACATTTTCTACCGGAAAGTTTATACTCTTGGCAAAGCGCTAACAACTCTATTTCAATGATATTAAAAATACTCCTCTGCACTCCCATTCATCGCTGATGAACATGCAAAATAAGATACCTTAACAGTCTAGAGCAAAATTATACATGGGCTTACCCTTTAACCCAACAATGCTATAGGTTATGGGAATCTATCCCTAGAACACACTGTCAAAATTATGAAAAGACATGTCTCTAAGATTATTAGATATATATTCAATATAGCTTTCTGCCTGGCAGCCTCTGGTAGTAGTGTTCCAGGAGACTATAAGTAGAAACTGTAAAGCCCCTTGAAGCTTCAGTTTGGAAGCTATAGAGCATCACTTCTGTGTCATTGTATTGGTCAAAGTGAGTCACCAGACCGGCCCAGATTCAAGGGATGGGGAATAGGTGCCCCTGTCTGGATGGGGGGACCAGTCTTATCACATTGCAAAGAAAAGCACATACAAGAATGGAAGGAACCTGTGGCCATATTTTGTGATCTATCAAAGACAAATCCTAAAATATTTTCAGTCAAAATAATACCTGAAGTTGGACTCAAAAGAAATCCACTAGGTAAATGAGGGTAGAAATGAAATGACATGGATCATATGTTAATAATTGTTGAAGCTGGGTGAAGTGTACCAGAGGGCTCACTATTCTTTCCACTTTTATAGATATTTGAAATTTCCCACAATAAAAAGATAAACAAATATCCCTTCCATCTTTGTGGGAGACTGTAGAGCACTGCTATTGATCTGGCAATTCAGGGGGGGTTTTCTATCCTATTTTACTGTGAGGGGATTGGTTGTAAATCTAGTATAATGCATACACTGGCATGAGGGTATCTACAGTGTCTTCTGCTCAACTCTGGCTTCCCTTGGGCTTTTCCTTCCTCAGTGCTGCTGTGTACCTCTCTGCACTTAGAATATCCATCCTTGAGGAACGGCTCCCATTGCCCTGTAGACATTTTTATTTGCATTACCTCAAATACTGTACCCTACACAAGTGCTTGTTTACCTATAGAGGTATGGTAGACTGCTCAACTGTGAGCTGCTTAAGGGCAAAGACTATATTGACCTCCCCCTCCCTAGGACCTGGCAGTATCATGCTATGGCACTTTGGAGGAGTTCATTAAACACCGAATAAATGTATGGATCAAAGAATGAACTAAAGTGGCAATATGCTGGTGCCAGGACAATGTTCTCTCAACCTTCCTCATATGTCACATATCTGCGAGTGAACCTTGCAAGTCCCTGATCCCTTTATACTGAATTGCACTGGTAAACATCCAAACTGTAATCCAGAGGAACAGAGATGTTCTATTTTAAAAAATCACTAAAATCATGCTTTTCCAAGTGTAAATGTGAAAAACATTTTGAGGAGCAAATATTTAGTTGATTGGAGCCCTTTTCAGAAATCCAGTAATTCACAAGTGATTGTATATTTCTCTTCTCCTTAGTTCTTTTAATCTTCTATTTTCCTTTTGGCTTTCTAAGTTTTTCTTTTATGCAGTCCTATTTTATTGTTGCTTATTCAATGAATAGAGGCTTTTTATTTATTTTTTTTTTCTTTTTAAAGCAATCACACAATACACCTTACTCTGTAGCTTGGTTGCTTTTCTTTTTCTCCACTTAATCATAAGTAGCACTTCATTAGGGTGCCTGGGTGGCTCAGTTGGTTAAGTGTCCAACTTTGGCTCAAGTCATGATTTCCTGTTTCTTGGGTTCGAGCCCCGCATCAGGCTCTGTGCTGACAGCTAGCTCAGAGCCTGGAGCCTGCTTCAGATCCTGTATCTCCCTCTCTCTCTGACCCTCCCCTGTTCATGTTGTGTGTCTCTCTCAGAAATAAATAAAAACATTAAAAAAAATTAAAAAACAAAAACAAAAAAAAACCCATAAGTAGCCCTTCAGGACAATACATGCAGCTTAAACTCATTTGCTTAAAGAATGCAGAGTATACCATGATCTAAATATGCCATAATTTC